ATTTTAAAAACTTAAAAGGATTAATTGGTGAAAACGTGAAATTTAAATTGTTTTTTAAGGATTAATAGTAGAAGGATAAAGATCTTACCCACTCTACATCATGTGTTTTTGTTTAAACAAATTAATAATAATAATAATAATGGAAATTTGTTTAAACAAATTAATAATAATAATAATAATGGAAAGAGAAATTCTGTCATTGTCCTACTCGGATATGATTAGCTTTTTTGTGCATGTTTCATTTGAAAAACTATACCAATAGTACATGTTGTAAAACTATCTTATAAATTAACAGAATCATGTTTTATAAAGTGAATGACAAATTGTATTACATTGAATATGATTGAGCTTTCATACAAGTCACCTTTATTTCATGCAATCAACCATTCTTGTAAGACTAAGATAACATATAACACTAACATGGCATAGAATATGCCCTCAATGAGCTATTTTGTTCTTTATCACTTTACATGGCATAGAATATTTCTTTATTGAGCTGTTTTGTTCTCTGACAATCTTAAATACCAAAAATTCAGTTGCAACTTAACCACAATAACATCTTCTTCACTGTAATTGGTTCTGCAAAGGGAAAAACAAAAACAATTCAATTAAGGCATTGATTTTTACTATAGAAACAAAAAATGAAAAAGTAGATCAAATTGTAACATCAACAACAAAATATTTTAAGTTTCAACTTGTAACAATAGCAATACAAATTGTAACAACGATCACTGCATTATTAATTTGATCATCGACAGACTTAAGGTTTATCATACCCACAACTGTTTTCCTAATAGCCTACAATTGAAAATACATGTGACAGAAAGAGAATGGAATGAAATTGATGTATCAGAAAAATGAATAAAGACTATTAAATTGTAAAATAAATAGTGAATGAGAGTTAGTGACTTTGGTAGCAACATAAAGTAAAATTTATTTGTATTAACTTCGGTTACATGTACCAACTAATAGGTAATATATTGTGTCAATATTTATTAATTACTGTTTTCAAAAGCTTCTTCTTTTATGAACTCATATACCCCGATTTTTCTTAAAAACCTACGTGAAATATCTTTCAATTGAACTCCCAGAATATGGAGCTATAGCACTTTTTATTTATTTTATTTTTAATTAATAAATACACGTAGGATTTCCCTTAAAATCAACATGTGAGTTTTTTTGCATGAAATACTTCAAAGAACTACTCTCTAACTTTTCGTTTACCTATCAACGTTCTAACTTCATTATCATTCTCTGCGTAAAAACCCTAGGCAATTTTCATCGTCACTCTCTCATTAAAACTCATCAAATTGTTGGCGATTTTCATCGTCACTCTCATCAAAATACGAACATCATCTCTATTTTCAACCTTAATTGAATCTTCATCATCACGTTTCAACTACTCCTTTATCACGTTTTTGTTTATGTTACTAAAATGATTTTAGTTCATATCCCTGAAATAGTTTTACTTTATATCAACACGAACATCATCTATATTCCTATACAACATCACTTAAATGGTTGGTGAATAGTGAATCCCGTACGATGAATAGTGATATTCGTACGAATGAATAGTGACGTCCATGCGGTGAATAGTATTGTTCGTATGATGAATAGTATATTCGAGTTTTTGGGATTTTTAGATTCAGTCCATGGATCCATGTGATTTTGGGCTTTGTTTGTTGGGTATTTGCTATTATAAATATGTATATCTTATATGTTTGGTGTGTGACAATCTTAGAGTTTTCACCAACAAGGGAGACCAAGAGTTTAAAGGTATAACATAGGGTTTCAACTATGCACAAAGAAAACCTTGATTACACCTTGGGTTTGAGTGATTCATATATTGGGAGTTGGAGAGGTAGGGAAACACTTGGGTAGAAAATAAGGTTGTTCTTGGGCGCCTTCAGGGTTGTTCTTCGGAACCTGAAGGTGAAAACTATTTTTTTGTAACTCGTCTGTAATCTCTTGTAACAACTTTCTGAGTATAGTGAATTGGAGAGTTGCTCTCTCCTCCAGAGTAGATCGTTTGATCGAACTAGGTAAATAAACCTTCGGTTTTTTCTTCCCTTATTCTGTTATATTATCTATGTACGAATTATTATTGCTGAAGACCATTTATTTTAGCTGCTATTATTCTTTGCCTCACAATTTGATATTGAATTTTATCGTAATTCACAACAAAATTCACAACATCTTCAATATTAGGTCCACTTCTGTTTTACGTGATCAAGTTGTTCAGCAAACGACTGATAGGAGTGTACACGTAATTGATGTGGATGCCGATGATCATGGAGAAGGGTTAGACGATGAACAATCTGATGATGGAGAGGACTCAGATGATGAAGAATCCAATGATAACTTATATTGGGAAAAGACAACCAGTTTTGGGTACAAGGCTATGAAGAATGTGATGGTAAGTTTAAAATTTGATACCCATCGCACACAATGGAGTTAATGCGTATACATTGTATAAGTAATTGATATCATGACATTTTTATAGCATTTTTCAATGAAGGTTACGATGGACATTTTAGGATTGAACCAAAAGGAAATTGAGTTGGTGGATGTAGACAACAAGAGGATTTATAATGTGGATACGCGTTCTGCCCGCCATAACAGAAAGATCATAAAGATGGAAAAGTTCATGGAGGATGACTAATAGCAATTTGCTAAGCGCAAGAGGCTCGGTAGGGGCGATAAAGTTCAATTCACGATAACAATTCTTCCTCAAAGGCTTTATGTGTCAGTTGTTAGAAGACATGAACACACTTAGATTGTGAATGAGATGTTAACACTTGATGTCGTGCTACGACTGTTTGCTTGGAAGCTGAAACAACATTTACAAGTCTGATATTGAAACTGTGTTATTTGTATCATGTTATGTCGTAATTTATAATATTACATAAGCTTTAAGTATGTTTGGTTTCAAAGAGACATGTTATTTTCTTAGACAGTGTGGATGTTGTAATATATATTATATGACTTTAGTTTGTTCTAATATGCACAACAATATATATATATATATATATATATATATATATATATATATATATATATATATATATATATATATATATATATATATATATATATATATATATATATATATATATATATATATATATATATATATATATATATATATATATATATATATATATATATATTTGGGGATGAAATCCAAGCATATTTAGTTTGTTTAGTGTAATACGTATCCAAATAAATGTAATTTATGCAGCATGCAGGGTCACATGTAGCTTTGGCAGATTCTTGCATTGTCCCGTCTTATCAAGCATGCTGCATGCAGAAAGAGAATCTCGTAGGCCTGCATGGTCACTGTAGTCATGCAGGGTCACATGTGAATGACAGAGTTTTGCGTTGTCCTGTCTTATCAAGCATGCTGCACGTCATTGACTCACCAAAGACATTGATTGTGGTAAACGAATGCGTGACAATGTAAACACAAGTGTCCTGATGCATTTAATCGTTTATCAAGCATGTTACACATAGATTTAATTGAAATACATATAAATAAATAAATGTATCGTCTTATCAAGCATAATGCATGTGTTTTATTTATGCAGCATGCAGGGTCACATGTAGCTCTGGCATCGTCCCGTCTTATTAAGCATGCAGGGTCACATGTGAATGACAAATTTTTGCATTGTCTTGTCTTATCAAGCATGCTGCATGTCACTGACTCGCCAAATGCATTGATTGTGGTAAACAGATGCGTGACAATGTAAACACAAGTGTCCTGATGCATTTAATCGTTTATCAAGCATGCTGCACATATATTTAATTGAAATACATATAAATAAATAAATGTACCGTCTTATCAAGCATAATGCATGTGTTTTATTTATGCAGCATGCAGGGTCACATGTAGCTCTGGCATCGTCCCGTCTTATCAAGCATGCAGGGTCACATGTGAATGTCAGATTTTTGCATTGTCCTGTCTTATTAAGCATGCTACATTGACTCACCAAAAGTATTGAATTGACTCACAAAATTTATACACTTTATAATTCAATGGTTAATCAGTTTTTACGTTTTAAAATTTATAATTTAAATCAATTTATATGCTTTAAAATTAAATTGTTCTTCAATTTTTATTTTGTATTTAAATTAATTTATAATTAAAATTTTTAAATAATTAATAATTTAAAAACAAAAATTATTACTTATTTCATAAATATTACTTAAATTTATTAAACCTTATTTTTTTATAATTACTTAAATTTATTAAAATATTTATTTTAAATAATTATTTAAATTTATTAAAAACTATATTTTAAATAATAAAAATATAATTATTTGATAATAATATAAATTAAATCATTAACTAAAAATAAAAAGCGAAATCTTAGAAATGTTTAAATTAATTCGCCAATTGATCCGACGACTTTGTTCTTTTTACACTATGTCCCCATTGTAAGTGACGAATGTTTACAGGTTCAAAACTCTCATTACACTACGTCGCCATTTCAAATGACGACTACAGGTTGAATTCTAACTACTTTTGATAAATTCTTAGAAAACTGCAATTGTTTGATATTTTTGACAGAATAGTTGGTTATTTAAAAAAAAATTCACCATTTTATTCCAATACATTCTATATAATTCCATTCAATCGCATTCGTTAAAAAGTTTACATGCTTATCCATTAATTTCACTAAAGTGTTCCATTTTAATGTTTTCATAAAAATTGTAAACTAAATTGCATTAATAGACGACTAAAACGCATTTTGGTTCATTGTTTAATATAATTCGAATGAAATTAAAGATAAGAGATAAAAATATATATTTGTGTATTTTTAAAGAATTCGTGTAAGAACCTACTAACGCACCTACGTTTTTGCTTCTCTTTCGCTCCTTTGTTCACAATTTCAGCTCACAAACAAAAACCCTTCTCTCTCTCTCTCTCTCTCTCTCTCTCTCTCTCAACCCTATCATATTTCATTCCCTTTCTCTCTCTGCAACAACCAACACCAACAATGGCTGATTCACTGCCTCCCAAAGAGGCCAACCTCTTCAAGCTTATTGTTGTAAGCTCCCACTCTCTCTCTTTGCTTATTGTTACTCAGATTCAATTTTATTCACTCTTTAACACTTTTTGATTGTTTCCACTTCGTTAAACCCTAGATTCTGCCTTATCTCACTTCTCACGCTATCATTGCTATACTAAGAATCTAAGCAAATCTGAATAAACAACAGTTTGGGATTTTAGGTTGAATTTACTTGTTGTAATTTCAGATGTATGATATGCGATTTTGAAGTCTTTAGGAGTTGATAATTTGGTACTTTGAAGTTGTATTGTACTTTCTTGGATTCTCTCTGTGCTCTTTGTTTTTCCCTCTGCAATCTCAGAGAGTAGTTTCTTTATTGTGTTGAAAACTAGGGAGGAAATTCAAAGGAAAGAAAAATAGGGAATAAGGATGAGACTAGTTTCTTTATGGTATTGAAAAGAAAAGAAAAATAGGGAATAAGGACATTTGGTTGTATGGAGCTGGGTTTGGAATGGTGGGAAATTGTGTTCTTGGAACTTTGAATTGATATTAGAATCTGTAACGAATTAAGTTTATTTCATAGTTTAGAATTTTAGTTATTGAAAGTTTCAACTGATTTATATACATGTTATAAATTGAGTTTATTTGATACTTTAGAATCTGAGTTGTAGGTATGGAAGTAATTTGACTCTTTAGAACTTTAGTTATAATAGGTCTGTTAAAAATCTGCCAATGCAATCGGGGAAGCCAGTTGAGAATGGCGTGCTGCTGTTTTAGAATGATTGTGAATATTTGCCGCAGTTGTTTCTTTTGAAATTTAGTTTTATGCATGTTAAAGTGTCCATTTGTTGCTCAAAAGCTTACGCAATTAGAATTTGATTAACTTGTCTTTAGGATATTTATGCGAGTGAAATTATATTTTTCTTTTTGAGGTGATGCATTAAATGTACACTGAGGTCATTTTCTTTTGTTGTTATTGCTGCAGAAATCATACGAGACCAAGCAGTATAAAAAAGGCATCAAGGCAGCTGATGCTATTTTGAAAAAATTCCCAGATCATGGAGGTATGCCTTTTTTGTGGTAATTCCTTTAAATGCGTATCCATAGGGCCAGTGGACATTAATGTCTGTCTAGTTTGCGAATTGTTTTCTATTTTCATTTCATGTTTTTCACTTTTAGCTACAAAATTATCTTTGTTTAAACTTTTTGTTCTTGCCCTTCACTTAAATGACATTTTGTTAAAAATTCGTTCCTGTTGATAAAGTTTTGTCTTCTCTTTTAATTACAAAATTGACACATTTTTTAGCTTCCTATTTTTTAAGTTTTGTATTAGAAACAGTAAAAACAAAAACAAAAGGGTTCATTGTTTCTTATACATTGTTTATTTCCTATTTTTGAATTTTTCTACATGAAACAATATAAACCAAAAAAAGGCTTTCATTGTTTCCCATACAAAATTTTGAAAACTAGAAACAATGGAAAACAGAGTGTTAATATTTTTTTGTTGTTGTTGTAATTAACAGTGAAATTAAGAACCGGAAATAGATAACTTTTTATGCTTTCTTTGTATGATTCAAACAACTTGGAAAACTAGAAACAATGGAAAACAGAGTGTTATTTTTTTGTTGTTTTAATTAACAATGAAAATTAGAGCCAGAAATAGAAAACTTTTTATGCTTTCTTTCCAAGTTGTTTGAATCATTCAAGCAACACCATCTTTTTAAATGTATCTTCGTCTATTCTATCTCAATGCTCTCTGTTGCAGCATTACCATATTTGGCTTCTTCGGTCATATATATTTTTAACATTTATCTATGTGTTTGTTTCTTTTTCTGGAATATAGAAACTTTATCAATGAAGGGTTTAACATTAAACGGCATGGATCGTAAATCTGAAGCATATGAACTTGTTCGTCAAGGATTGAAGGTCTGTGTGTTGTCTTTGATTTTGCTTGATTTATTGATCTTTCAATCATTGTTTATCAAGTGATTCGGCTTTACTATTGTTCCGGTACAGAATGACCTTAAAAGTCATGTTTGCTGGCATGTTTTTGGTCTCCTTTATCGGTCAGACCGAGAATACAGGGAGGCAATCAAGTGCTACCGAAATGCCCTGAGAATAGATCCTGACAATATTGAAATTCTGCGTGATTTATCACTCTTACAGGTACTTTCTTAAATTCATTTTACCTCTACTTTCTTCTTTAAATTGGATATGAACTCAGAAAGTATTTGAAATCACACACAGACAGACAGTGTAATGGATTTAACTTGAATATTACTCTTTTATGCTGGCATGTTCTTGAATCAGAGATCGTACTGCTCAGAGTTTGTTTAATTTGTGGATACATCTTGGCTTATTTCTAAAGTACGTTAGGTTTTTAGCCAGAAGTCATACAAAAAGTGGCAAAGAGATGGGTTAGATGGAGAAGTTTCTATAGACATATGGCTTAAATTTTTGAACAAATAAATCTGATTTACTACGTGAGCTACTGATAGGTAGATGAACAAGAAAATGTGAAATAATAATGAACTTTGCAAAGTTAGGATCTCTAGAGATCACAGCTCACATAATTGTTTCTCATTTGGTCATTTTGAATCTTGATTATCTGGTAGAACTGAAGACGCAGAGATAATTGTGGGTGAGTGACTTAGGTTCATAAACCTTTTATATTGAAGAGTGAGCTGTACTGAAAAAAATCAGTGCCAAGGAATCCCACCGGAGAATATTGTAAATTTCTTGCTTGAGAGACAACTATCAACCTCTCGATTTAAATTACAGAAATACAAGAGTGTCATCCCTTAATTTTTGAGGCATTAAATCATGCAGCTATTGCCTGGTAAAGGATAAAATATACTAGCCTAACAACTGATTATTAACATTGGCCGTTTAAATAAAATATCCCTTCCCTTGCTTAAGCCCCTCTCAACCAACCATTGTGTACATGATATGTTAAAGATCTCGGTCACTGAGATAATTCAGCTCCCATAGTTGTACCTCACGTTCCCCATTAGTAGAAATAAGACTCCCATAGATTTGACATAGGAATTACATTTGGATCAATAATAGTAGTGATTAAAATATTTAATTCCATCACTAAGTTGCTTCTATTCCAGGAGAGTAATGGCATCACCTTTAAGTTCTTGACTTGAAAGTTTTGGAACAAAAGTTGCTTAAGGTGTTTAATTCCATCACAATCATGTCATGTAATAACAAAAACAACAAGAATAAATCGACTGATTAGGAAAGAATGTTTGCACCACAGTAGATGGTCTACATTGGTGCGGTACATACAGATTTTTGAAGGACTATACTAAATTTGCTTAACCATGCCCAGAGGGCATTGGAAGAGAGTTGATGCACAAACTGTTTGCGTTTTTTAATGCCTTCAAACCCTCTACGGTATTTTGAAGAGAGCTCGAAACCAATGTGATTTCAAATTTCTGGTCTAGTCCTTTTGTGTTAGATATTTAGGGTTTTATCAGGCCCAACTAATGTGGGCTCTGATGCCAACATGAGATAATTGATTTTAGATTAAACTAGATGCATGAGAAATCACCTCAGCCTCTGAATTTAAATTGTAGAAATACAAAACTTAAATCCTTTAATTCGAAGACATCTTAATGCAACTCTTACCTAATTTTCGTATTTATATCTAATCAACTATAAACATATACAACAAAGTAGATAGGTAGAGGGAATCTTAACAAGCCCTAATATTACGAGTAAAATCTACATTAGGCCTATGTATTGTAATTTACTCTTCCTAGCAAATTGAGTTGTAACCACATGTATATATTTGTGCACAAAAAATAAATCAATGTTATTGTATATTGAATTTGGAACCTTTCATTTGTGTCAATCACACTTCCTTCCTCTGTATCAGAAGAGAAGAGTTTGATGTCATTTTAGTCTTCAAAAGAGGTGAATGTTGTCTATTAATCCAAGCAGGCTGTGACAAATGTCCAACTCTTCAATAATGCAAAAATTTGAGGGCTTTCCCTAGGAATATCCTACATATTACTACCTTCGTCCCTAAATATAGGACCCTCTTGAGGCTTTTCTCCGTCTCTTTTTATAAGATCCTCTTCAAATTTCAAAGTGCATTAATTGTTTATTTATCCGTATACCCATAATTATGTTGCCTCTTTTTCTGCAATATGCACTAAAGACTCTTGTACAAACATTAAATAATTCTCTCTTCTAAGGATACACTTGTAAAATTATACGTATAGTCATCAAATTTGATACTCCAACCAAATTTAATACTACAAACAGTCAACTTTTAATACTCCTACCAACTTTTTAATGCCAACTCTAGAGGGTTTTATATTTAGGGATGAATGTAGTATAAGATTTGTGTTGCTAATTTACATACAGCTCACCAGAACAGTGGAGCAAATAATTGTTCTGCTGTTCTATTGTATTGTGTATCCATCACTTATGAAATAAATATGTACGAGTATATAATCAGCATTTCTTTTTAATAATGTAATTTGGTCTACTTATGTGATAGTTCTTTCTACTCTTTACTGACAGGCTCAAATGAGAGATTTATCTGGCTTTGTTGAGACTAGACAACAACTTTTGACTCTTAAGCCAAATCATCGCATGAACTGGATTGCCTTTTCTGTTGCCCATCATTTAAACTCTAAGTATGATATGAATTTATTTTGATTTCCCCATCCCAATTGTTGACACCTTCAAACTGAAATTCATTGTTGCATGCTGGTCTAGGAACAGTTGTCCTTGACTCATATTTGACAGTTTGCCTGTATTGTACTTAATTTTTCCGTCCTTTTTTAGCTTTCAGAGATTTTTTTTGGGAACCAAATGATACATTTAGTTGTGCAGACTCCTTCATTTCTTTTATTTACTGAAGTCTACTCTGAAACTTCACGAGTCTAGTTTTCTTATTACATGTAGTTGTTAGAATGTAATACAGACCTTTTCAATCTGTAACAGTGCGTCCAAGGCTGTGGAAATTTTGGAAGCATATGAAGGGACTTTAGAAAATGATTATCCTCCAGATAATGAACGGGGCGAGCATGGGGAAATGATTTTGTATAAGGTTAGCCTTTGACGGAATGTCTACATATTTTTCTCATTGAATGCTCCATGCTAATTCACATATTTGGTGTCTGATATGACTTTTAGCTTAATTAACTTTACTATGTACACACATTGCATATGAAATTTTTTCTCATAACTTGGTTTTTAAAACTGTATGAAAGCATCAGTGGTAACTTGTCTTCGACCTTGACGTCTGTGGTTAAAACTGATAAGTGATAATGTAAAACCCGGACTTGATATTTGGTGACCCAGTTCTCTTGCTAATCTATTTAGAAATGTTACCACTGTTAAAATATTAGATAGTATCTTACAATATCTTTATATTATCTTATTTATCTTGTAAGATCAATTTGTAATCTTAGAGTATCTAGGATTAGTTTCTATATCTCCTGCGAATTTTGGGTTGACCAGAGGCTGAATCAGCAATTTATATCTGACTGACTGGGTCAATCATTGGTCCAAAAGGTTTTGACTGTATAAATGAAAATGGCACCCTGGTGCTCTACTTCCCCGTCATGGTCGGGTCTAGAGGAGGTTTGGATCCATGTAGGCAGTCTTACCTTGTGTTTGAGAGGCTGATTCTTGAAAGAAAGGTTTATGATAAAACACATGACTAAAATTAAATTGCATTTGTAGAATCCAATTCTTTTTTCTTTCTTTCTTTTTGTGCAAATTATTATTGCTCAGGTCTCTTTGTTAGAGGAATGCGGATTTCTTGATAAAGCTCTTGAAGAGTTACGCCAAAACGAATCAAAAATTGTACGTATGCTATATTTACCTCGGTAATATGTGAATTTAACTTACTATCCATGATATATAGCTTGTTTGTGATTGTCTTTTTAGGTTGATAAACTTGCTTTTAAAGAACAAGAGGTTTCACTTGTAGTGAAGCTTGGTCATTTAGAAGAAGCAGAATCGTTGTACAGGATATTACTTTCCATGAATCCTGATGATTATAGGTAATGAAGAACACTTATATTTTTGGTTAAAGTGTCTCAATTGATCAGTCTATGTAGATGTTTTTTCCTTTGTGTTTTTCTTGTTTATTTTTTTTATGCATGAATGGTTTATTTAAAACACTTCTAGCTTCTAAATAAAATTATTCATTATGCAATAATTATTTTTCTATTACTCCTTGTGTTCTGAATGTTGAGATGAATACATATTGTTTGTGCATCTTCCATGACCTGCTTTTGTGCTTATTTTGAAGTTATTAGGCTACTTCTCCAATTCTGTCCAGAATTTTGAAAGAACCGTAGTATCCAGGGTTCCATTTTTCATTTCTTCTTTGAACCAAGGATCTCAACCTATGATTGAGCATTCTAGTATACCCAAGCCCCCACATGAAAATGTAGTTCCCTTTCTTTATCAGTTTGTGCTCACAACTACATTGGATCTGGACTCTCATCCCAAACTTCTCTCTAGATTCAGATTCTTGAAGACTAAACCAAACTGCCGTTATAACCAGTTGACACAACCTTCCCGAGGGTTCTCCATGATACATTCTAATTGCTTTCCTTCTGTGAAACCCACCATCTGAGAGATCCAGGGCTCTCTATTGTCTGAAATCTAATTTTCACCAAATGACTACCTCTCGCTATCATCCCCTATTATTTATAGGCAACATGCTTTAATTATTTCTTCTAACTATCTCAGTCTTGTTAACAGATATACCATTGCTATTTGTATTGGTATAAAATTGTAAAATAAAGACAGTGGTATTTGAACTGTCCACAGTGTCTAATATGGTTATGACAACAATTTTGAAGTGTCTGTATGTTCCTTTTTAGTTTTCGAGACTGACCAATTTGAACAGGATAATATTTGAAAAAGAGGACTAAATATTTTGTTGATATGAAACCCGAGAACTTTACCGTGTACCTGTGATTTTGTGTATTCGTTGTTTACTTGATTTCTTACAAGTGGAAGTGTGGGTTGTGCTTAAAGATAGATTAGGATAAAGCTCATCTTGTCTACTTTCTCAGAGAAATTGGTTTATTTATTTTTCATTGAATTGATAAAGGGATAATTTTACTGCAGTTTCCTTTTTTTTTGGCACTCATTGATAAAGGGATAAACTATTTATTTTGTATTTGAATATTTTATGACATACTTATTTTAATTAGCTATACTTGTAGATGTTAAAGATTTGTTCTTGTTTCGTGTTATCAATCAGTTACTATGAGGGTCTTCAAAAGTGTGTTGGTTTGTATTTAGAAGATGGGAAGTACTCTGCTGATCAAATAGATCAGTTAGTTTCATTGTATGAAACACTTGGGCAACAATATACGTGGTCTTCTGCAGTAAAGGTAATACTGTTTACTGTTGTTATTGCTAATATCTTTCCTTAGAAGTTTAACAATCATCAATAATATTTGGCTGTATTACCCATGCAAAACATTTAAAGTACATGCTTTTCCTGTGGAAATGATTTTTCTAATATGTAGGATCATTACTGTGTTTCTGATAGTGTTTTTGGAGGCAGGTATTTCATTGTTTTATGCTTGGTTTTAAATGTTGCCAAAACTTGAATCAAATACCCGTGAGCCTAATACGTGTGGTCATAATGTCTTAACTTTGTGTTTTCAATAACTTTGGAGATTTAAAATACAGGGTTATTGAATTACAACAATTTAATTATTTTCATTGCAAAATCATTTGTTTGGATTTTTATCCTTACACATACTGTTGAATAATTGGAAGTTGCTAAATATTCTGAATGCAAATTTGTCCTGGTCCTCATCACAGATGAATCTCAATATGAACTCTGTTTAGGGAACTCTGAATGTTTAAGCTTATATTTAGGGAGCTGTTTGTTTGAGGTCATCCAAACTGCCTCTGAATGGTACAATTTCTGTTATAGGAAACAATTTAGGGAGGATTTCACAAAACTATTGTGTGGGTATTTTGCAGTCTTAAACACGCCATTGCAGCCTACGGTGCCGCCATGGCGGGCATCGCATCACAAGTTGGTTATGGCAGTTGTGAACAAATCTGCCTTGCCCTTTTGCCATTTAATAAAACTGGTATTTTGAATACTTCAATTTTAGTAATGTAGTTCTTGATAAAATTACTTCAGAATTTTCAAATTTCTCGTACCAAATATCCAAACAAGGTATTTTATGAAAGTATTTAATTCCTCTAAAAATTACATTTCCACAGAAAAGAAAAACTAAAGATGGGTCTCAAAGCAGTGTACCAAGGGGAAAAACTGGAAGAATACTCCAGAGAAGAGAGAAAATAGAAAGATGACTACAGATTACCGGCCCCACTTACCCCACCTCATCAACCTCCCCATCTTGATTTTGCCGTAGGCCAGTCTGCAGTCACTGTGGCTGTACCTTGTGGGCACCACCTTCAACACTTCGACTGTGCCAACCAAGCTTTCCTCTCTTCAAATTGATTAACTTTGTCCACTTTCCTGTTGTTAAATATGTTTGGATCTCATCCCCAAAAGCTAGCTCAAAGGGTGAGGCTGTCTTCACATATTTATTCATCCAACATCTCAGGAACCTAAGCAATGTGGGACTTCAAACAAACTCAAACAACACAAATGCCAACTTCAACATGCACCCTCATGCCTAGCGTGAGTCTGAGTCAAATGCCCACATTGCAGACCTTAACCAGGTTCTGATACCAAGCTAAATATGCTTGGATTTCATCCCCAAAAGCTAGCTCGAAGGGTGAGGTTGCCCTCACATATTTATACATCCAACATTCCGGGAACCTAAGGAATGTGGGACTTCAAACAAACTCCAACAACACAAATACCAACTTCAACACCTGCACAGACAACCCTCCCCCTACCCACCCATATATACATCTTACCCCATACGTTTTCCGCAAATAGTTCAGCCTTCAATAATGAAAAATAACGGGACATGACCTACTAAATTTATTATTGAAATGGTATCTTCAGGCCTCTCGAATAGAGTCCCTGGGCAAACATAGGAAGTGCAGTTGGCGAGACCTTTTAGATGGTGGCCGTTGTGGAGTGGGGAAGAGGTGCTGCCATGGGAATCTTAGTTTTCAACAGATCAGATAACAAGGTTGTCGGTGAAGCAGTGAATGAAAGCGGTGTTAGTTTTGCATTTGTCACTAATCTGGTAATGTACTTGAGAGGCAGTGCCAGTGCATATTCTGTTTGCCCACCAGGCACAACTTTCAAAGTCTGCTTTGCAGTACAACACCAAAGTTTTGAGTCACAGTAGTTGGTGCATGGAGCGAAAGTAAAGAGGGTGGAAGAGGGGGTGGCATAGAGCCATTGGCAAGATCCAAGAGGGTGGAAGTACATGTGGCTGGGATAGGGTTCGTCTTGAAGATGTGGTAGTGGGTTGGAGGGGAAGGGAGAGATGGAAGCTGAAGCGGAGAGAAAACTCTGTAAATAAAATATTTGAGAAAATTTAACTTCGACGGTAGTAATATACTGATCATCCATTTTAAACTAGGCATCTATACGCAGCTGCTAGAGAAGTAATCCTATTTTAGTTGACATCTTCATCGATCAATGTGTGTATTTTTTAGAAGTAGTATGGAAAAATGCTTTTGGTGTTCTACTGATTGGTGTTGGAGTTCACAATTGTTTGGATAAAATTCATTCTTCAGTGGATCTTTTGTTTGCCAGAGAATACCCTTGGATTTCTTACAAGGTGATAAATGTCAAGAAGCAATAGAAAGTTATATTAGGCCTCTCTTAACAAATGTGTGCATTTTTTAGAAGTAGTATGGAAAAATGCTTTTGGTGTTCTACTGATTGGTATTGGAGTTTACAATTGTTTGGATAAAATTCATTCTTCAGTGGATCTTTTGTTTGCCAGAGAATACCCTTGGATTTCTTACAAGGTGACAAATTTCGAGAAGCAGCAGAAAATTATATTAGGCCTCTCTTAACTAAGGTATGCAAAGTTCCTTTTCATATTTTAGGTGCCCTGTTTAGTTGTTTCGTAATTAATTGAAATTTCTTTCTTTGTTGTTCTAGGGAGTTCCATCTCTGTATTCTGATCTTTCTTCTTTGTACACTCATCCTGGGAAGGTCAGTTTTATCACGTACATTTCTATTATTAAATTGCTTAGGGATTTCATGATTGACTTATTGACTTTTTTTTTTTTTTGCCATTTCTACTATTTTGACCATTTTTGATTATTTTTCTTTATTTTATTTAAACTTTGTCCAGGCAGACATTTTGGAACAACTTATGCTTGAGTTAGAGCATTCAATTAGGACATCAAGCCAATATCCTGGGAGGTAACTTGTGAGATATTTTCTTGTAACACGTGAATTGAGTAAAATATTCACATGATGCAATTTTTATCTTGTATATATCTTGGTTAATTCCTGAATGAAGAAAGTGAAGAGAACTGCAATGGAAGCATATGTGCCCAATATTTTTGTAGTCAGTAATTGAAATTCCCATGGAACAACCTTGAGCAGAGAACCTGCGAGAAACCATGAAAACAACTGTATCCCATGTCAAATAAATGACAATGATAATTCTAGTCTGTACTTTTGTATTATATAAATAACCATTCTCTCTCTTTTATATAGTATGGAGAAAGAACCCCCTTCAACTCTTTTGTGGACTTTGTTTTTCTTGGCTCAGGTTTGTCGCTACCGTTTGATATTTAGATTAATTTCCTGCTTCCTGTCACTAATAAATTTGTACTGGTGCAGCATTATGACAGGCGCGGTCAATATGCGATTTCTCTTTCTAAAATCGACGAGGCTATAGAACACACACCTACTGTCATTGATCTATATTCTGTCAAGGTTTGTTATTATGAGCACCATTCCGCTCGTTATTGTATTTGTTAATTTTTTTCCTGCTGTCCTTCCTTTATATTATGCAGCATCTTATGATTGTAGTTAACTGAATACCATTACAGACGAAATGACTCTTAACTATGGTTTGAATGATTAACTTTTAGAATTTTTTTGACACATTATTTGTGCAGAATTTAAACCATCCTTCTTTGTATTAGACATTTGGTCAGCATTGTCACATAAGTTAATTACCATGTGTACTGTGTGATGCCTTTGTGCTTAAAAGCCCTTTTTGACTAATTTTGCATTTTGCCTTGCAGTTTCTATCATACTGCTTTACTCATTTCAGAATGCTTAAATGCCATAAAGTTTATCATTTTTATGTGAATAGAAAAGATAAGATATTTGTGCGCCCAGTAAAGCTTAATTTTTAGGTATTGACCTTTTTAATATGACATAAGGAAGCACTTCAATCTCAAAACGAAGCTTTTCTATGCTTGAGTGCTAACACATTATTATCGAAACTCAAAGCAAATTAGATGATCAAGGAAGCACTTGCATGTAAGAGTACAGATGGATAAAATGAATAGAAGTTAAGATTGGAATTACTGGTGCTTTTGTCCATTCAATAATAAAATTGAAAGAATTCTGATTGTCTTTGTATGACAGAGTCGGATACTGAAGCATGCTGGTGATTTGAATGCTGCTGCTGCATTTGCAGATGAAGCAAGGTATATGGATCTTGCTGACCGTTATGTTAATAGTGAATGTGTTAAGAGGATGCTGCAGGCTGATCAGGTTTTTGTTTTTAATTGCATTATATTTATATATCAGCTAATAGGCATAGTGATTTAAAAGTTTTTTCCCGCTTTTCTGACTCTGCTGTATTTATATATTCCCTTGCTATCAAGGTGGATTTGGCAGAAAAAGTTGCTGTGTTGTTCACAAAAGATGGGGATCAGCATAACAACCTTCATGATATGCAATGCATGTGGTTAGTTACAATGGTGTGTTAAATTTATGTGCATTCAATTTGTGGCTTATTGTCTTAATGCATGTTGTTATATCTATACTTGCAAGGTATGAGCTTGCCTCAGGTGAAAGCTTTTTCCGCCAGAGCAAACTTGGGTGGGCTCTCAAAAAGTTTTTAGCAGTGGAGAAGCATTATGCCGATATTACTGAGGACCAATTTGATTTTCATACATACTGCTTAAGGAAAATGACATTGCGTACTTATGTTAAAATGCTTAAATTTCAAGATCAATTGCACTCACATGCATATTTTCATAAAGCAGCAGCTGGAGCTATCAAGTAAATATCATGTCTTTTATTGATGTGTTTTTTAATGTATGAGTTGTTATCTCTGAAAATCCACTATGTAAATGTTTTTTTTTCTTCTGAAAAAATCTTCATGTAGTTCAACTTTTTGCGTAAAAAAAAATGTATTTCCACGTTTAGAACATTTATTAAAAACTAGAATACTTGGTTCCAAATTTTGTGCATTTTTTTATATTTATTTCATTTCTTTATGTTTATTAATGTTTGCATTTTATTTATTTTATATATATATATATATATATATATATATATATATATATATATATATATCTTGAACGTATCACATCCTATATTTTAGAGAAATAATGTACTATCGATACATGTTGTATCAGATACTTGTGTCGTGTCTTTGTACTATAGGTTGTTATGCTTGGTAATGCCTTGGGGTAAATAGATTGTGTAAATGCATGGGAACGGAAAGCCCTTTGCAAATACACACAAGAGAAGGAGAAGCAAGCCTATAGGGAAAATGAATTTGTGATTGTTATTTGAACTTTCTTTTCCTTTGCTGTTTAACATTCTCCGCTTCACAGTTTTTGTGAGTCTAAGGGTTTTCTGACTAATGCTTCAAGTTTGGCATGGTTTATAGTGTATGACCTAGCCAACGCTCTTTAAAGATTGTTAAGTTAATAATATAAGTGAAACACATCACTCCTGATTTTGTATTATGATATTTATATTTATATCATCTGAGCTTGCAGATCTTATATTAAGTTGCATGATTTTCCTCCCAAGTCTACAACAGAGGAAGATGAGCATATGTCAAACTTGCTTCCTTCTCAAAAAAAGAAATTGCGGCAAAAGCAAAGAAAGGCAGAAGCAAGAGCTAAGAAAGTAATGTAGTCGTGTCCACAGCTTCTAGTAACTTTAATGCAGTAAAGCTTTTAAAATTTCTGATCCTTTCGTTCTATTTTGTTTTTAGGAGACAGAAGAAAAGAATGAAGAATCAAATTCTAGCACGGTATCAAAGTCTGGGAAGCGGAATGTAAAACCTCTTGATCCTGATCCACATGGGGAGAAGTTATTGCAGGTAATTTCTGGTGTCTTTAATGGCCTTTGGGATTCCTATTTAAATGTCTTTTATTTTTTTATGCACAATATTTCTCGTCGGATTCTTGTAGAAGATAAGTAATTGTTGGGTTGACCATTGTTTTGGTTAATATCACCTTGCATATTGCAAGTGTAGATAGGTATAGAGATTACAGGGGGTTTAGATTCATTATAATATTTTGGAGTATGTAAAAATAAATCTTTATTATCTAATCTAATTTTGTATATAAATAAATAAAGTACATTAGGATAACTTATATTATTCGTTAGGATTAGTTTCACTTTTATTCAAATTTTATTCCAGCATATGATCTACATTTTATCTTTCTAATTTGATTTTTCTGAGGGTTTATGTTACCTCCTAAATCTTAAGACCGAAACTTATAACTTCAACAATGTAAATGTGAATAATAATATTTTAAGTTCCTCTGTAAATAGTACTTTTCTTTCAAATAAATATTATATGGAACTGACAAGTTAAAATGCCATACTGCAAAATACCAAGGCTTGGCATATTTATCCAATGTTGAAATCTGCAGAATGCATAAAAGTATCAGGTTTATCAAACACTCGTTTTAGTATCAGAATGTGTTTTACCATAGTCAATAGTCATTATAATTGTTAGTACTGAAATAGACCCATCTCTTGTGTGTTTTTCCATGCTTAGGTTGAAGATCCACTGTCCGAAGCTGTTAAATACTTGAAGTTGCTGCAGAAGAATTCACCTGATTCATTGGAAACACATTTGCTCTCTTTTGAATTATATACAAGAAAACAGAAGATTTTGCTTGCCTTTCAGGTATGAGCCATGAGGAGGCTAGTAATCATCAGGCATCATTTTTTTGTTACCATGTAAATTTGTTTGGCTAGTACTACCTCTATCCCTAATATAAGCTCCATTTGAAAAAAAAATTTGTCCTCAATTATAAGCTCCTTTCTAAACTACTAGATGCATTAATGATTTCACAAAAGTATTCATGATCAGCATCCATAATTAGTATTATTAAAGAGTCCCACTTCGGATAATATATGGCCTGAACACGTGCTTATAAGCGAGGACAATCCTCACCCTACAAGCCGGTTTTATAGGGTTGAGTTAACTCCAACCATATTAAATGTAAAGTTTGGAACATCAATAAACAAAGTTAACAAATTTAATATACCCCATAATTTTCTTAACTTAAACATTAATTAAATGTAAAGTTTTGGAACATCAATGAATCAAGTGAACAAATTTATTATACCCCATAATTTTCTTAACGTGTGAAATTATTGGAAGGTGCTTATAATAAGGGACAAAAAGGTAGTAGTACTTTTGTTAACAGTATGGGATATCTTCCTTGCTATTTTAAGTGCATTACAAATGTTTGGAGAAGCTTAATAGACACAAATGGAAATTGGAAATGATCGAATTGTTTTAGCAGCAACCCAGGATGAATGCCCCATTTCACATTCACACACATTATACCCCATTTAACGGTTAATTAATACCTCTAGAAAGTAATAGAATAGTGCGATCTTACTTTATTTCTACCGTCTGATACTGCTTATACAGGAAAAAAGAGTTGCAATAGAAATAGTCTCATATGGACTAATAAAGACAAATAATGTCTCACAATGACAAATAATAAAAAATAAAATAAAATAAAAGAGAATCTGTCCTTTTCTCTCCACTTCATTCCTTTCATCATATTCAGCCATCTGTCCTTTTCTTCTTTCCTCACCGGATAGGCCCTGTCCCCTTGCCCCAACACCCTTCACATTCTCGCCATCTTTTTCCCTTTTCCCATCCATACTCATGGGTCAACCAAAACTCAATTTTTGAATAAACAGTTATTGTCATGGTAGCTCTGATTAAATAATTTATTTCTTATACTTTTTCATTTTACACTGTGGTGCCAATTTAATGTGTTTTCTTTGGAGTTGTAGGCTGTAAAGCAGTTACTGAGATTGGATGCTGATCACCCTGACTCTCATCGTTGCTTGGTATGATATCCTCTGGAAGATCAAATTAGTTCCATTTTATTGGAGAAACTTTCTTTAATGTTCTTTTATATATCAAAGCAATAATACAGAGTTATTCCATCTTTGCATAGTAGCATCTGTGTTGATTTAATATACTTCAAATTTGTTCATATCATGAAATATTTGTAAAGCGTAGGTTAGGCAATCTGAAAAGAAAATGTACTTTTGGATTTGTACAAGCTATTCCTGGTCTGTTATTCAATTTCTTTATTCTCATGCTTAGGATACATTTTTTCTTCTTTATTTGTCTGATTTCTTTATTCCTTCATCCCACACATATACTAGTAAAAAATCTCATTCTGCTCGCATTTATTTGTCTGTATGTTGCAGATTAAATTTTTCCATCAATTCGGATCCATGGGTTCTCCTCTGACTGAAAGCGAAAAACTGATATGGAGTGTCTTAGAAGCTGAGCGCCCAACTATTAGGTTCTTGGCGGCTTATTTTTTTGCTTTTTGTTTTCCTTTCTTTTTTTTTGTTGCAATATTGACTTCCATTTATTTTTAGATTATGACTTAATTTTTTCCTTGACGTGCAGTCAGCTGCATGAGAAATCTCTTTTTGATGCAAACAATGCTTTCCTTGACAATCATAAAGGTTATCACAGTGAATACTACCATCTTCGTGGCATCACATACATTTCAAGTTTCTTTATGAAGATTTTATATTGTTTCTCTATTGTTTGCAGATTCTTTGATGCATATAGCAGCTTTTGCAGAATCCTTGTATATTTTGGATTCTAACAGAAAGTCTGAGGCTGTCAAGTTGATTGAGGCAAATAATATTATACCCAGGTAATGTTTTGCAATATTTTTCCATGTGTTATTAACCACCACACTTTTTGTGTCAGTTAAGTATTGGATTAAGAAAATATTTATATACCTGTGACACTGCTTGACAGACTCTAACTTGAAAAAGCTTGCTATAGCTCATCATCTCATTCCACTAAAGGGGCGGTGGCGGTCTACGTGTTAGCCTCAATTTTAGTATGTAAAGTGTTGAAAATCCCAATTTTGTGGTGCTAATTTAGACCCTAAGGTCAAATTATGAGAAGCCTCACATATTGACTAGAAATGTGTCCTAGATAGTACTTAAGGCTCAGACAGTCCTCATCTTAGAAGCAGTTTTGTAGGGATTGGCTTATACTCTACGCCCAAATTAGAAGAGAGGGGACTTAGGTTGCCTGTCTTAGAATTTAGAGATGGAAATTAATAGTATGGAGAGAGTAAAAAAATACATTTTACTACAACCTAAACCATTTGATCATAGATAGAGTTGAGATTACGAGTGGATGAATCATGAAACAATCACCCTCCTGTTTTTATGGATGGAGATGAAATCAAACTGGACCTAGATCAAATAACACATAACATACTACTGACAAATTATATAAAAATATTCTCAAAATGATGCCATATAATAAAATTGTATGATGTTCAAGGGGAGGAGGGGAGCATGTGCATTTGTGCCTATCTACATATTGCTTATCCTACAAGTTTTTGGACTATGTCTAGTTATGAATCATGTTTGTGTGATGGCAAGTGCTTCCCAAGCTTAAGCTCATTGTTTTCCTTTTAGTTTCATATTTTGTTTTCAAAACTGAGTAACAGAGACATTAAATATTTTCTTAAATTTTGTGTGCTAGAAATGAAGCAATCGGACCAATTGGAAAGTCGAAACTTAAAGACTGTATTGCAGTTCACAAGTTTCTTGGAACAGTACTTGTTGACCAAGATGCGGCATTGAGTAAGTATAATCGTGATTGTAGTGCAGATTTTAGTTGATATTTCAATTTCGGATACCTTTATTTAAATTTATCCCATTCTCTATTTTTTGCAGGGTGGAAAGTGCGGTGTGCAGAATATTTCCCTTATTCAACTTACTTTGAGGGAAAACACAGCTCTGCCTCTCCCAACTCGGCCTTTAATCAGTTACGCAAGAACTCTGAAAATGTTAGTCCTAACAATGCAGTTGATAATCAAAATGTGGGCTCTGCCACATCGAATGGCAAACCATTTGAAAATCTCACTATCTGATAAATACATGAATGAGGCTAACCGATATCTGCAAGTGACTTGGTAAACCAACTGCTGCATTTTACACTCATAAACGACAATGATGCAGTTTGCAGCATGTATCACAATTTTGGTTCCTGTTATGGCAAATTCTACACACTCTACCTTCTGGCTTCTCCCATCTGTGAAATCTATTCCATTTGCAAATGTGTATAGTTTTACTTAAAAGATGTTTTACGATTGACTTTCTTTTATTTGCTCTCCCTTTATTCCTTGGAGGTGAAAGAGGGTGTCCATGGATTTGCACCATTGTCCGAGGTTATCATTTTTGTCAGGTGGAAGAGGGTCTCAATGGTTTTACAGAATTTTTAGGCCTCTGGTTCTGCATCCAACCAACACATTAGGGAGAGCTTGTTGTACCTTTCCTCGTTGATTAGCTTACGAGAGCTTGTTGTACCTTTCCTCTTTGATTAGCTAGACTTCTGGTTTTCTTCATCCAACCAACACAATATCATGTATAAACATTAAATGAAGTTAACATTTTGCCTGAAGATGCTGGAATGACAGCTTTACTTTTGGATGGATTTACTCACCAAAAAGAATTTAGTTTAGTCATGTTGTATTCTAGACAGTGTTCCAACTTCCGCACAGAACTGAATGAAATGATTTTGTTCTGTTTGATGAATGAAGTTATAATGTATCATTAGTTTCAACTCTTAGTTTGGTTTACTTTTGAAATGAAATACATATAATATTTGACACCACTTACATAATCGGGGACCGGTTATCGAATTGGTGAGAGTATTGAGTCACTAGTTTATCGGTCGAACTATTGGGTTACTGGTCGAACCACATGATTAAACCGGATTAAACCGGATAATTCGGTTGAATAGACCTGTTATTATATAGATATAAAACTGGTCGAACCAGATGATTTAGTTTCTAAAAAAATATAATTAGTACTTAAATTTTTTAAAAATATCATATCATAAATTCACAGTTCATAATTTAAATTCAAATTTTAAAAAAATGTATCACACATAACAAAATAATACAAAATTACAAAATCTAATTGCAAACAAAGTCTAATTGCAACAGCTTCCTCATCAATGATATCATTTATCGATTATTATGAAATAAGAGGTAACTATTTGTAAGTAAAATATGATTCTCCTATAAAGAAAACCAAATAAAATTCAATATGTTTATGCTATTTCACTTTTCTTTTCAACAAAATATATGCTTTTTTCTATTGTTAATATTTAAACACTAAATATAATTAATTATAAATTATAATTAATTAAAATTATTAGCAGTGACAAAATATAAAAAGATAAAATATATAATAATTTAAAAAGTTAAAATAATAAGGTAACTAATTTGTTACTAACCACAAAGTTACAAACTATTTAGGAAAATGTATTAGCAAAAATAACAAATAGCCAATAAAGTCTATAATTTGTCACTAACGAAAAAATTTTATATGAGAATACTATTTAAGTAATACACTACTACGTATATTAAAAAAAAAAGTTAAATTATTTTTTTTATAAATAAAAGTAAAAAAAAATAAAAAATTAAACCACTGGTTTTCTCGGTTCACACCGGTTTGTACCGATTCAATGGCGAGGCCGATCCTCCAATTGAACCAGGCCGGCTAGTGTCCCGTTTCTCTGGTCCGATTTTCAAAACACTGCTTACATGTGATGTTTCTTTATACCTTTAAACATGTATAAAAAGGGATTCTCATTATTTCCTATGTATTTTTCACATATCTTATCAATGTTTGAAATTATTCTGTTTGAAAGTTATTTTTTGAACGAGTTTAATTAGTATGTATTATTGTGTAAAATAATTTTACAATGTCATCCAATAGAAATTTATCAATCGGCCATATCATATAATTAACTTAAAATTTAGAGTGTGATGTCGGGAATTTACATAAAGGTATAAATTGAACATTATTAATTGAATAAGAAATATAATATTACAAATTTTACATCGATAATTGAAAGAAAGATTGTTAAGATTGTTTGGCTTTTACATCTATAATATTATAAGTTTAAAATGGCCACCCTAAATAATCAAATACTTATTCTTGGAAGTGGATACTTATTCTTGATGGTTATTTTATTCAACTGACGATAATCGATGCATAAACGCATACTGCCATCCTTCTTCTTTACTAACAAAACTGGCGCTCCCCACGATGACACACTGGGTCTGATGAACTTTTTGTCCAATAATTCTCCAAACTGAGATTTCAACTTTGCCAACTCTGACGCTGACATTCTGTATGGTGCCATAGATATGGGTCTGGTACCAGGGACAAGATCAATCGTAAACTCTACTTCCCTCTCTGGAGGTAACTCTGCAACATCCTTCGGGAACACTTCAGGAAATTCTCTCACCACAGGTAATTCCTCAACTGACGACTTACCCTCCACAGATAACGAAGCGAACACTGCAAATACCTTAGCTTCGTCTTCTACCAAGATTCTCAACTCTTTAGTAGATATAAGACTAGCCATATTTCTTCCTCTTCAGGAGTCAGGAATAACAACCTCTTCATATAACAATCAATATAAACATAGGTGCTCTCGAGCCAATTCATCCCTAAAATAACATCCAGCTCGCTGAGTGGTAGACAAATCAAGTCCACTCCAAAATCTTTACCAAAGATCAATACAGGGCAATTCAAACACACTAGAGACGTAGTGATTAATCCAATAGACGAAGTATCAATCACCATCCCTCTACTTAGAGTAGACGGCACAAGCCCTAGTCTCTTCACACAATCCATAGAAATAAACGAGTGAGTTGCACCCGTATCAACAATAGCAATCAAAGGAGTGTTATGAATGTAACACGTACCTCTGACCAAACGATCCTCACTGGTAGGCTGAGCTCCCACCAATGCACACACCTTCCCACTTGTCTGAGACTTCTTCGGTTTTTGACACTAGCTGCTGATATGACCCTGCTCACCACTGTTGTAACAGGTTGGTATGTTGGATCTACAATCCGCGACCACATGACCTGGCTTCCCACACCTAAAACACTTCTTCACCTCATTCTGACATTCATTCGCACGGTGACATGCACCACCACATTTGAAACACTTGAGAGGATTGGAAGGATTTCCTCCCCCACTTGGTTTCTTTCCAACAACATCTTTCTGCTTTCCTTTATCAGCCGGAGCACGGTAAGGTGTATTCCCATGCCTCTGTTTGCCTCTTCTGTCACTTAGATTCTTATACTGAGCGATTCTATCTCTGTTGTCTTCATCGTAGATTCTACACCTGTTCACCAGCTCAGGAAAGTACCTGATCTTCTGATAACCGACACCCAATTTGATCTCGGGATGCAGCCCATTCTCAAACTTGATGCACTTTGAACCCATAGATGCATCCGTATTGTAATGAGGACAATACTTTACCAGTTCTTCAAACTTGACTGCATACTCTGCCACTGTCATGTTCCCCTGTTTCAACTCAATGAATTCAATCTCTTTCTTTCCAGGAACATCTTCTAGAAAATACCGTTCTAGAAACTCCGCCCTGAACACTGCCCAATTAATGGGACCCTCACCAGCTTCCAATCTCTGGCGGGTGTTGTCCCACCAGTCCTCAGCCTCACTTCCAGCATATGGGTACCAAACTGTACCTTCTGATCCTCTGAGCATCCCATAACTCTGAAGATCTTCTCGATGTCTTTCATCCATTCCTGTGCTACATCTGGATCATGTACGCCTTCGAACTTAGGTGGCTTATTATTCTGGAACTTCTCCGAATTATGGAATTCTCCGTTCCCAGCACTCCGATTGATATCCTGACCAATGTTCTCCACTGTCTACGCAATAGCTTCTAGCGCAGCAGCCATCACATCATCATTTCTATCAGCCATACTGCTCAACATCCACGAAAACACAGGTTAGAAAAACACATGACTATAAACATCCTATAGTCATACTCTACTACAACACTGGCTGGACGGACCGACATGCTCTGATACCAATTGTAACACCCCACTCTACCCCGTACGCATATTATAAAACATATATGGAAATATTACATAAAAGTACATCAGAGTTCTCACAACAAGTAGGATGTCACACTAAGTCACTTCATTCTTCACAAATAAATCAATGTTATCTAGCTTTCAATTAAACAGCGGAACTAAGTCAATTGTTTAAACATAATCTCCACCACGAGGTGATCATACATCTTTAATCCAACAAATAAAAGATACGTAACATTTAATCAAGAAAATAAGCAAAATATAACGTAATTCCATCATCCCATGTTACGTATCAGAGCGACTCCTAGGACTCGATCAAATAACAACACACTCCAAGCACTACTCAAGTACCTGGTCATCTGCACTCCCCAAGGAGCACATACACAACAAACAGAAACGGGGTGAGAACTACGTTCAATAAGTAAGCGGTGAAATACACATGCTAAGGAGTAGTTACATGCCACGCATACAATCATATACATACAATGCACATAAACGTGCCACATCAATTACTAGGCATTAATAGCGCATCATTAACTACAATATGCAATGTGACTCACTAACTCGACACAATGCATGTGGCACCAACACAATTACATACGGTTCACCCTAGAACCCGATTCCCGTCGGAATCCGGATAAGTCGTATACGTTCCTCTGAACTACAACTTATCTCCACAACGACTTTCACATGAAGTCCGGATGAAACTAGGCACCCATCATGGATTCCCCCTAGCCATCCCCACAAGACACATGACATGAAATGCATGACAACATAATTATGCAATATAATAAATCAAGCATAATTCACGATCATCAATGATCCACACGAGCCATCCGCTCACTGTAATCCTCTAGGGAATTACCACAATCACACAAGATTATCCATATTCGATAACCAAGGCTCACATCCATCAAAACACATCCCTAAGGACACACTCATATAATTCCATATTCTCCCGATTTAATTCATTACTAGTATTTCTTAAGTTCATTTTAGTC